CTGATAAAAAAAAAACGAAAAGATAAGTAACAAGTTTTTATATAAGAACTCACTGAGAAATACAACTTTCGGGGGACATCAGAAAATTAATTAATTTATTTCTCCCTTTTATTAATTTATTTTCCCCTTTTCTCTTTTTATTAAATATTCTTGAATAACTTTGAAAAATCTTTTTTACTGCAAATCAAAGAATACGAATAATGTAAATTCTAAATAAAAAAAGTATTAAAATATATCTTTAAATTAATATATTGTATTAATATTTTAATATATGTAATAAGAGATTATAAATCACACAAATAGATGAAAACACATTATTTTCATATGCAGAATAATCTTTTTTCCAAAGTTACACCATTGATAAGAAGAATTTAGCTTATATTCTTTATTCTTCTTTATTTTTCTCACGTGAAATCATCTCCTTATCAATTATTCTCGTCTCCTCGTGATTTATCGAACACTCTCTGCATCTTTTAAAGCATTTGCTTTAATGGAGCAGCAGCGTCTGTTTTTATTCATTCGTATGATCTGTTTATTAATTATTGAATCAACACGTGGTAAATATCTCTCGCATATGTATTCCGATGAAAATATGGAAACTTTAAAATAGGCGCTGGCGATTATAAATGAAAAATAGATTGGCAAGTTCGCATATGTGCTCCTGGGAAATAAGCAGGAAACGCGCCGAGGAAGAAAGTCATTTAAAAAATCATCTCATGACGTGTATATATGTATGTGTTTACATTAGCAGGTTTTTCATTAGTGATGAAAAATTAGCGGCTATGCATTTGCGAATAAATTAAAAATATACCATCGCATTCGTAATTTTTATCTAGAAACGCAGTTTCAATGCGCATATTCAACAATCGAAATATCAATAAAATATGTACACTTGCGATCAATAATTATTATTTGCGCGCGAATAACGTTTAAATAATTGAAACGCTTAAATAATTTATTTACATGATATTACAATTTTCGTACGGATATATGTGTATTAGAAATTGCTGTTAAATAAATGCACGTTTGTTTACACACTTTGAATATGTATTAAGAGAATGTTTGTGCTATCTTTCTTCCTTTCTGAACTTCATAAATTATAAATAACGATTCTCGACTCTGTATTCAGCTGTATGAGTTAGCTACTGTGATTTACCCAACATTGGTGCTTACGCAGGCACATATTCAATTATTGCGAAATAATCACAGTTATTACTCACAACAATAGAGAGTTTCTCTCGGTTGCTGTTATATCCTTAGGGTACTAACCATGCGCGTGATCGTGACCATCATCGATACAACATCTAATTATTACGCTGGGTTTATTCTCTATCTATCCTCGCTCTATTGCATGCATATTTCTTGCATGCATATTTCTTGCATGCATATTTATTGCATGCATATTAACGCATTAAGTTCGTTCATAATAAATATAGATTTAATGTATGTTTAAAATATTTAGATTGATTAAAACAGAATTTGAATAGAAATTATTTAGAGACGACGGGAGATTATGTACATGTCTTTTACTATTAAATATATAATTATTTATAGTATATCTCTATGAATATAATTATTAATCGAAACTTGTGAGAGAGAAAATAAGATAATTTCTTTATTTTATTTACCAAATATATATTGATAGAATTTATTCGATGCTCTTATACTCTGAATGCGGAATAAAATTATATGTGATCGTGAAATTCGAGTATAGTACAATGGAAATAAAATCTCAATGGTTATTTCGATTACAATACACTTTTCAGCAAATAGAGCGCATCGAAAAAATTCGGGATTTTTTCCCGTTGAAAAAACTCGAGGCTTTCAAGATCATATCGTTTTAACACAACGAATCGAAATGACGAAAAGAATCAATGCTCTTTCTAGTTTAGATACATTTTGCTTTTTCGCAAGTAAAAAGGAATTAAATTCTAATAAACATTATTATTGACATTAATTAATAAATATATATTTGTGTAATTTTGTGTAATATTTCTTTACATATGTGATATTTTAAACGATATTACTCTTGAATTTCATATTTAAAGTAATAATTGAAGGAAAATTTATGTTATTTATCTTATGTTTAATAAGAATAATATTGAAAATGTGTTGCACTATATAATACCGATATGCAGACACATACACAGAGAAAGAAAGAGAGTGTGTGTGTGTTTTGTAATTCTTCCATTAATTATATAGCGTTAATTCTTGATGAAAAATAAGTCAAAAAGTCCTGAATTATTTTTGCAATGCTTAATGAAAGAACAATTACTAAATAAAATCCACCTAATAATGCTATAATAATAATTTATTATTTTGAAATATTTATATTACATATATCTATTTAAAAAAGATTTCTTTGTGATATGTTCTTTAATAGCAATTTCTACATAGCATCGATATTATTATACTAATTAAAACTATGACGGACGGAGTTCTCTCTCATTGCAAATTAATAGTTCTCATGAGGACTTGCAATGAAGTGTATATCATTAATTTCCAAGAATAATTACCAAACTTCTTGACGCATTTTGGTCTCGCGTCATTCGTTATTGTTTGAGCAGCTTTACTTTATAAATAAGCGCGCTAACAAGTTTTGCGAACTTTCTTAAAACAAAGCATTATTACACAAATAATCGATCATTATTTTGAGGCAAGAGGTTATGCGCCGACCCGCTATTAATAATAATGAAGGGATCACAGCTAACATCATCAGTCAGAGGTTGTGCTTTGAATTTAGAATTCTATGATATTAATCTTTCCTTATTAAAGAGCAACGTCTCGTTACCGGAACAAAAATTTTATCATGAATAAATTAATTTTATTGGTAAATAATTTTTTAAAATAATTTTATTTTTTTTTTTTTCTATTTTACTCACACACACATATACAGATACAATTTTAAAAATATGTGAGAATTTTCCGGAAAAATAAGATTACCTATTGTTATGATTTAAAAAAAAAGAGACTGGAATGTTCGTTGTGTTTACACATTACATTTCATCTAAATCAATGTTCTGTAAGTTACTATGATTGGTAAGAAAAAGATCATAAAACAAGCCCATAAAACACGAGAAACCCTCCAATAATCGATTACGAATAAATGAAGTAAGATAATTCGTTTATCTCATCGCACCATCACGTTGCTCGATAAATAATCAATTACCGATCAATTTGTATATGTGTACGAATATGAAAAAGCATCTGAAATCTTTCCTAACTAATATCTCGTATTGCTTTACAATCAATAATTATGTCACTGTATAATGATCTCACAATCGCGGTTAAATCTAATTTTTTTAATACTAATTTATGTGATATAAAATTTATTATGTATCCGTTTAAATAATGACATGGAACATCTAATATTTATATTAGATTGCCAAGGAAAATTTGAAATGTTTATTTCTATCACAAAAAGGTAGAATTTCATAAAGATAGTTTAATTTTTACAAAACAGAAGAATAAACTTTTATAGCTTTTTATAATAAAAAAAATAATTAGATAGATAAGATTTAATTAAATATTTAATATTGTTATTAAAGAGAAAAAATGGAAACATGTAGAGTTGATGGTTAATTGATTTATATTAATTCAAATTGAATTCTTTCTAAAAACGTTCTGTGTATGTAGATGTGATACCCAAATATTTTTATAAATTTTATTTAGTAAATAATGTTATTAATCAATTTTTTAATAATCTTTGACGTTACTATAGTGTCGATAGCTTTCTTAACCGTAGTCAAATTAAGAAAGCTATTAATATGCGATACATTAACGCTACTATTTCTACTGCTGCTGCTGCAGCATCCGCACGAGCTCTTCACGTATCGATTTGTTCAAAGTTTTTCTTTGTGGTCATGAATAATGCAACACGATATACGCATCCCGGTCCAGCGATACTACGTGAAAAATTGCCGTGAATATTGGGATCTTGCGAGCCATTCAAGCGTGCACGATATATTCGAATATTTGTGTTTAGATAACGATGACGCATAATATTGAGTCTATTAAAAAAATAACATCGTACAAATATTTCAAACTTTTTCGAAATTTTTGCAACGGAAATATTTGTTTTCGATATTTGATCGCGAGATTGTTTGATTGTTTGATTTTCCTAAACACCGACACATGTTTTCATATTTCGCAAGATGTATCTGAGAGAATTAAATATCCCAACTTATGTAAAAGAATACTGTCTCATTTATATTTTGCAACATTTTTACGTAATGATATATATGCATATATCACATATACACATAGGATGAGGCGCACAAAGAATGATAGATGAATATTTTCGAAAATATTAATGATGAGAAAAAAAATATGATTGATAAAATTGAAATATTTTGAGAGAACATATCTTTGAAATATATTTGCTTTCTTCTATATGAAACAAAAAATTTTCACCCCAATAACTTAAAACGACATTAAAATTATTAAGTTTATCGAAAAGTATCATAAAATAAAAGTTGTAAAGCATGAAATTAAAAAAAGAGAGTGAATTAAAATACTCCTGAGGGGTAATTAGAGGATTGTAAATAAATACGCAACAACGCGAAATTTTGTCTCTAATCTAATTTTATCTCAGGAGGATTTTAACTCACTCTCTTTTCTTAATTCCATGCTTTACAATTTTTATTTCATGGTACTTTTTGATAAACCAAATAATTTTAGTGTTGCTTTCAGTTTTTTGGTGAAAATTATTTATTTCATTTTTTGCGATTTTCTTCAAAACAAAGCAAAAACGAGCAAATCTCTAAAAGACGTTTTGTTTTAATTTATCGGTCCCCTATACACTCCCAAAGTTTAAATTGGAGACACCCTGTATAATAATCATGCTGATCAATATTATACACACACGCAGGTAAGATTCACATAGGAAAAAGTGAATATATCTGAAAGATGTGTATCCTAGAATACTATAACTTTATCTGATAAAACTTTTTTCATGTTATGGTATAGTTTACTCACTGAGAGATCGATTACATTTACAGAAAATGCCAGTCGATGGTGTTGGCCCAATGGGACATGGGACAATTACTCCAACTATTCTTTGTGTCGCGACTTGCGACCACCGGCGATTGAGCCCGGGGTAGAAATATCGACCACGCTATATTTCATCGGCTATGGCTTGTCCTTATTCACTTTGATAGTGGCAGTCTGCATATTCATCTATTATAAGTAAGTGAATTCTCAATAAGATCTAAAATTTTCGGACTTTTAAAAATAGACGGCATTCTTCGCTTTTTCTGACGTCACACGAGAGTTTTTTTTTAAATTTATAACTTATTATTAAAATTTATTGAGACCATAGATATTTTTGACAGTGTTTTTTTTTCATATTTATAATTTTATACTGAATAATGATAAGAGACGAGAGACAAAAGCTGGAACAAGTCAAGAGAAAAAAAGAAAGATATGAATATTAGATGTTATTTTGCTCAAAGAGAGTCAGGGTATTAGACAGACATTTCTGTGCTTTAAATTTTCTTGTTGCATCTCGTTGCACCTCGTTGCTTCCGGTATGATGCGAGCAAATGGCGGAAGTAGAATATATTTTTAGATCCTTTGATTCATACTTTTTCTCTTTTTGCAGAGAGTTACGATGTCTTAGAAACAACATACACACAAATCTAATGTTCACATATATCATGGCTGACTTGACGTGGATTTTAACTACTGTGATGCAGGTAAAGAAATAGTATTTTTACTATATTAACATATTATATTTTTTAATAAAAAATATATATATATATAATATTGTTGTAAAACATTTGTCAATATTTTATATAACATTTGCAATCTTTCATATATATAATACTTTAATATTTTTCTATACAACATTTACAAATTTTTATGCATCGTTGAAACATCATTTTATACAATATCTCTTTGTTATAAAATGTTTAACATTGTAAACATTATACTTTAATACGTTATTAAACATTTTATTATTAAATCCGCATTTTCTATTGCAAATCTTTATTTATTTGCCGTAAAATATTAATTAAACAAACGCTCCTTATGAGTTCTCAAATCATAAATAGTCGAACGGATTTAATATGCTACACCGACTTTAATTTTTAAATATCTCTTTTTTAATTTGAATCTTCATTATTGATAAAATTTTAGTACATTATATAACGGTTGCGTTGTGCAAAATTGTTTTAAATTTAATGAAGCGCTGCTTTTGATCAATCATGTTGTAATATTAATTACATTACCCACTTTGAGAGACTGCTAAAATTAGTTTACTATAAAGAGTGGGGGCGAAAGCGAGGGATAGAGAGAGAAAAAGAGAGATAAACGTGGATTATTATTCTCGAGCATTGTGAAAAAATTGTTTATTTTTCTAGAATATTTTGGTGCATAGGTATGCGATAAAATGACAAACAATTGATTTGAAATTTCATACTTGTTTACAAATTTGTAATATCTTTTTGATTTATCTTTTTAATTTATCTTTTTAATTTATCTTTTTAATTTATCTCGCTTAATAACTTTGCACATCTATCTCTTTGTAATAATCAACATTAAGATCGGACAAAAGAAGGGGAAAGAGAAGAAAAGATGTCATTGTATTATTTTTTATTAATGGTTGGCTGAGAGAGATGAACAAAATAATAAAAAATTTTTCCATTTGTCGGATCAATTCGCTGCGTACGTCATTGACAAATATCGCGGTTATCCCCGCTGAGTGCTTTCTCCGCTATTATATCCAGAATCCAGCTGCAGCTTGAATTCTGTAATGCGTTTCCACTTTCATCTCACGAAATCTTTTTAACAAACGCCAGAAAATTAATTACCGACCAACATGCTTCTCGGTAGCACTCTTTGAATGCATATTACATAGAAATTATAATAATAACAGATTTCCATTGATGATTTGCATATTCAAAAAGGAGAATAAGGAAGAAAGTGAGAGAGAGAGAGAGAGAGAGAGAGAGAGAGAGAGATTAGGATTATATGTATATTCTATTTTTTAAAATATCATTTTCTTTCTTTTTTTTTTTTAAGAAAAAGAAAAAATTATTAAACATTATTAAATTCTATTTTGGATTAAAATTAAAAAAAAAATGTCAGATAATTTAACTTGTTGAAGATCATATAACTGTAATGTAAAAGATTATGGTAATTATTCAGAATCACGGCTCCACCTGTAAATGGGCTGCGAATTTTTTTACGGCCTTTTTATGTTTAGAAAGAAATATAAATAACCATTTTTAGTTGGGGGAGGCCCAAAAAAAAAAGTTATAGGCATACACTTTCCCATCCACACAACAATTGTGGGGTGGACCTTGCTTTGCTTTGTAAACTATATGCGTGGACACAGTGGGTTCCGCCCCCCTACGGGGAGGCTCCACTTCCGGAAGATATAACCTAATCCAAACCTATTTCTGATGTAAAACTAAAATTTGGTTTGGGTTGTGGGGTGGACCTCGCTTTGCTTTGGTAATTTTTGGAGTTTTTTGGTTTTTTTGGGGGGGGGTTGGATGTGATGGGGGACGATCTCCCCCAACTGATTATCACTGTTGAAGTCACAACAAAGAGTTTTACCGAGAGATCCGATCATATTTGTCAAAATTCAGAAATAGCCTTATTCGAAATAATTACCATAATTATCCTTTTAAGGTCTATAACTTTTTTTTTTGGGCCTCCCCCAACTAAAAATGGTTATTTATATTTCTTTCTAAACATCAAAAGTCCGTAAAAAAATTTGCAGCCCAGTTACAGGTGGAGCCGTGATTCTGAATAATTACCAAGATTATAATTAAATTTAAAAACTGTTTAATTTTTAAAGGTCCAGTCTAGTTAAAAATTACAAAATTAAATGCATTATTCGATTCAACTAGAACCAACACCAGTATTATACACTTTGAACACTATTACGTTTATAACAAAATGTGTGGTTTTCGTGAATTTTATTACATTATATTGAAAATTATCTAAAGTGCTGCATATGCACGCGAGTGTAGACGTTTCAAACAAAAATTGGTGAAAAATTAATAACTTTGGAAAAATTCTCTTGTAAATTAATAATTTAAAATTCATAGAATAAAATTATCTGTCTCTGTTTGAGCATTGTTATTCTATTTTCATACGATCTTTTCACAATTTCTAGGTATTTATGAAATCGAACATACCAACTTGCGTGCGCTCTTCTCATTTTTTCACTACTTTCACTTGACGAACTTTTTCTGGATGTTCGTCGAGGGTGAGTAACAAATTTGTAATAAATAAATTTTATACATATTATATCTGCCGTACGACAGATCAATATCTTGCTCTGATTAAGCACGAGAGACAACATATCGCAAAAGCGTCATCTGCATGTATTATATCTCAAGAAAAAATAATTATTAATTTAAAAAAATATATAAACGAGAGGATTAATGCAATAAACAACGCGAAAAGAACCGATATCGTATGTTTTTTAAACCAGAGTATTTTACATTTATAGGTCTATATCTGTATCTATTGGTCGTGAAAACGTTCACCGGGGACAATATCAAATTGAGACTCTGCCTAGTGATCGGCTGGGGTGAGTGATTAATATTCAAACATACTTATAATTACTTTTAATTACTATTATTTATAATTATTTTTAAATTTGCATTTTATTAATATTAATTGTACGATAAGATTTTATGAGCAGAGAGAAAGTTTTATTATAAAATCTTATTTGATAAAAATAAAATTTATATAGATGTATAATTAAAATAAGTGAAATTTTTTTTTTTTAATGGATATATTTTGTATATTTTCTTTTAATACTAAATTTCTCGATTTTTATATATTATATATTATTAATATACATGTAGGGGAAAGTAGGGTCAAACCGGGTAGGCAAGTCAAATCGGGTACCACTATTTCTTTGTGATAAGTGCTATTATCTTTGGCTAACTCGTGTTATTAGTTGTAGATTGATTAGTTGTAGATTGATGCCAACATTATTTTAAAATAAACCGTACCCACGTGCATACGATATTCCTTTTTTGAGAGAAGTTCAAAATTTTCAGGCCAAAAAAGATCGATATCGGGGCAACAATCGAGTCGTTATTTTCATCGACTTTTTCTACACAGCAGAGCATCTGCTTCGGTAAATGCAGCATTGCATTCTGTACATATTAGAGAGTATATCGCACTAGTTTTGATCGTTACTTTGTATGCCGGAATATACAGCCGCCGGGTTTGTTATTTTCCTTGTGTTGGGGCAAAACCGGAAAAAACTGTTGTCCTTTGTCTCCCTACAAAAAGCAGTTGGAAACGAAAACTACCACTCAGAAAAAGAAACCACTAAAAAAAGCTTTATGAGACTCCTAAAAGTTAAAAAGTTAAATAAGAAAGTTCTGCAGCAATATAGAACAAGAGGATATCTTTATTTGTGATTTTTGTCAATAGAATACATCTTTGTATTATATTTTAATTAAAATAAATCTAGAATGTAATTGCACGGTGTTTTACATGTTTTCAAATGGGTATCCGATTTTATCCTACCGGTAGGGCAAAACCGGGTATTTCGATTTCTCCACAAAATCTTGTTATCCTTGGTAACCAAATATTTTTTTTTAGCAACTAGCCTCATTTTCTCATAGTTTAAGGTCCATTAAAGACTACTAACGGTCAGCAAAATTTTTTTTACTCTCTGATTTTTTATAGGAAGACAAATCCAAAAAAGTACCTGGTTTTACCCTACTTTCCCCTATATTAAAGAGATTAAGCAATGTTATACTTGCTCTCCCTGCTAATATATAGGACAGGTTAAGCCCTAAAAATAATAAAGTTAATTAAGTGTTACAATCCTCTACAGATGGTTACTTTGACAAATAAATAAGAATCAATCGCGAAAGCATATTTAGCCAAAAGCCATTTCTGCTGGAATATAATAGCATTGACACGTGTCAAACTTTCCAGCTCTTCTCGTTTCTTACTCGAAAAAAGAGCACCCTTTAATCCTGTTTGTATTTAAGAAGTACAGACCACTTTTTATTTTTAATTTTAATAGCTTATATAAATATATAAATTATTATTTGATTGGATAAAAAGAAGAGTTGCGTAAAATGGGATATTTTTGTTACCGTTATCCTCTGTGTATGATTTATCTTCCATAACTAAACATATAATAATTAATGAAAGATACATAAATTTTTTGTTCAGGTATCCCGATCCCTATAATAGTGATATGGGGAATCGCCAAATCTTTGAATCAAAAAGTCATGAACCACGTCATAAACCAGGTTAATCAGGTATGAATATAAACGAGATATCCATCTCGGATGTAAATCTTCGACAGCGAATTTCCGTCTCATCGCGCGAAATCGAAATCTTTCATTTTCCGATAAGCCACGTGAACCGATAACGGATGGCGCCGAAACTACCGATCAAAATTTCAGCCACGCTTACCTATTAATGCCATGTCCAAGTACGTGACAAGGATAAGACATACGTGAGGGAGAAAGTGTAATATTCACGCGATCGGGATGATTTCACGTCAATATACATCATTGAGCACATATGTTTCGGATGTTTGACAAGGTCGTTTACATTTTCGCAAGAACGATTTTTCGACGCAAGAAGATATTTCTTGGCTCACGCATAATTTGTGAATGACTGGGGTTTTTTTGTAGGTTTTTTATATTATAAAGGACAAAAAAGGATTCTCGGAATTTAGATTTCAAAGATAACAGGTGGTAAAGTCTTTATTTAATTTTAAATAAAATTTACTTTAATAAATTTTTGTAATTGGAGTATTAATTACAAAATAATATAGTAAATCGCAAAATTTGCTAAATCTATAAAAAATCAATATACTTACTCGCATAATATCCAGACACACGATGCATCTATATTGAAAAGCAGTTGTTTAGTGAATGTGTTATTTATAAAGCTTAACGTATATGTTGAGCTTAATCCCTAGTTACGAGAACATGTATTGATATTGTAATACTCAGCATTAATTAATTAGGACACGATAATCCTTCCTAACAGGAAGTCGCACTTTGGAGGCACTGTCCATGGATGATACCACATCCCTACGACTGGTTTTATCAAGCACCCGCTATAACAGTCCTCGCAGTGAATATGGTGTTTCTTTTCCTGATTATGCGGGTGAGTACATCTTGTCGCTAAAACTCATTGAAGTCTTACTCACGCCTTTCAGACACTTTTTATCATTTATAAAAATTATTCTATCGCATTATTTATGTATTAATTTATTATCTGTTTTACATTTGATTTTCCTTAGATTAGCAAATTATTAAGCAACCCTTATAAAATGCCCGTTTTTTTTCCTCATTATAATAAACGGTGCCTGGCAATTAAGTTGCGATAGGAGTCAAGAGATGAATAGTGCGGAGATAATTCTCGAATCGCGTGGAAAATATGGGCTTTGAAAACTGTTTGTTTTGAAATAAGTATTTTCAATTAAAGAGAACTTTTGCAATTTTTCGATCCTGGAATAAAATAGCAATGGATAACGTTCCAATTTAATGCAATCAGTGATTTCTCGCCGAGAAGCGCGATAAAGTGGCCAATGTGTTAGTTCGCGTGTATCCGGTGATAAATTGCCTCTCCAGCGCCCGTTGAAACTTTCAGTCGTAACTTGGGGCCGTAAAGCGTAAATGCACGAAGAGCAAGCGCTTTTTATTCAAATAATAAAACAAGAATGGAAAAATTTCTATTTTCCCGTAAATGTGGTTGACTCTGTTGTTCTTCTAAATGCAAATATTATGTACTGTATAGGTGTTGATAACGAAGCTATGGTCCGCCAACAACGTGGAGACGCAGCAATATAGGAAAGCCAGTAAAGCTCTCTTGGTGTTAATACCACTTCTAGGAGTGACGTACGTGCTGGTCATAGCGGGACCCAGCGAAGGCCAGGTCGCAAATATATTCTCCTATGCGCGTGCAGTGCTACTTTCTTCGCAGGTGAAGAAGCGTAAAGGAACACGTAAAAGAATGCGTAAACAATAGAATTTAAGCGTGCACAGTATAAATGAATTAAAAAAAATTAATCAAGTCAAGCATGCTCGACTCGATTCTATTATTGGATTTCTCAAAAATTTTTCCTTCAATTGGTTATATTTTTTTAATATAAAAAAGAAGAAAATGTTTTATGAGAGTAAACCAACTTGAAAAAAAAAATTAGAAATTGTTTTTTAAATAATATATTAATTCTTTTTTTTTTCAGGGATTCTTTGTTGCATTGTTTTACTGTTTTCTCAATACGGAAGTGCAGAATGCAGTCAGACATCACTTCTCACGATGGAGCACCGCGCGAAATCTTGGCAATCACCGGAGATATTATAACAACTGGTCACCCCGTTCAAGAACAGAGAGCATAAGGTACTCGTTTCATGTATCTCGACGAAAATGTACATAATCAGTTTCAAAGAGGATAATGAGACCGAAACTTTTTTTACAATATGATAATTACTGGGCATTAAAAACGCAGTTTAATTTCAAAAAATTTTCACATAATTCTTTGCGGAATAAACCCTTACTAGTTCATCGATTAGCTTATTTTCTACGGGAATTAGATTCTTATAGACATAGTTCTTTGTTTTTTCGTCCACGGTGCAGGTTGTACTGTCAACCGTCAAATCCGTACCAAAAGCGGGAATCCACGGTAAGTGAAACCACAACTACGACAGTGATAGGCCCGAATTCCACCACGACGTTCCTCGATAAATCCAAGAATGTTATTTCGGAGGACCTCAATGAGTGAAACAGGATTCGCGAGGGATTCCAATGTGAATCGCGTCGCGTTACATCGCAGCAGATTTTATCGTCGATAGACTGAATTTTTCATGAATAGCGTGCAGTTATGTGAAAAATGTTGTAAAAAAATTGCAAATTTGCCACATTTTCTTTGAGATTTTTAAGCATAGGCTTTTTCCAAGGTGAAGAATGCAGTAATAACGAAATAATTAATTATTCACCAGCAATGTAGCAGTAATCTGAAAGAAATTTCCTCGATATCTTCGTTCCATTATTAAAATTCCTAGCTTTTCATCGCAACTGTAATTTTTAACGAAAGCAAGAAATTGTGTGAATATTTGTCCTATACACCAAAATAAATTAGTGTTTTCTCATATATCATTATATTCGATAATATAGATTAATAAAATATACCGAAAACATTGTTTTCTATTCATAAGTTAATAAATAATAAATCTCTTCAAATCAACTTTCACAAAGTCCACTTTTTCAGTTAGAAATGCAGAATATATTTAGATCAAATTATATTTTTACTTTAAATTATATTTTTACTTAAATATTTTTATTTTAAGTTTTTAATATTAAAAAACTAAAGAGAGGAAGAGTTCTGAGTGTAACTGGTGCAAAAACTAATTTATTTCGATATATAGTACAAGAAAATAAATTTACACAACTTCTGATGTGATAATTCAATGCCGCTACAGAAAGGAAATTATACATAGATATAATCTCGGAGGGAATCTCAATTTATATAACTCTGAAAAAGTAGATAAATTAAAAACAATCGACAGATATTCGTTTTGTAGAATTAAATTTTTTAAATAGTAAATATTATTATACATATATATCTACTCTATTGCAATCATATCATCATTATTAAAATAATTCATGTTATCTTAGTTGTAAATAAAGATTAGATGAATTTTGCGCGCCATTGAATGCAAACGAACGGCAACGATAAAGAGTAAAAGGTGTATTTTGACCAAATTTCAACTATAACTTAATCAGCCATTACTAATTCATACGCGGCAGAATTTTCTATGACAAAATTTCTGTCCATCTATATAATTCGTCGTTTCTAATCTAATCTCTCTTTCCATATATTGTATATATCAAATGATAAAAAATTAATAATTCCATTCATTTATGTTATGAAATTACTACTGGTATTGTCTGATTGATTAAAATTGATTAAATTAATTGGAATTTGATCAAATAAGTCACTCTACTCAGATGTTCTTTATCGCTATCTCTCATTCAGCGTTCAATGGCTATCTCTCATTCAAGCCGAATGGCCAAGTATGCATTATCAACACTCATCTGGACTGCTATTATAAGTTAATACATGAGATATGTTTTTTATAGAACTTGATATATATGTATGTTTCCTAATATTTTATAAAATTAAGACTTTTTATGTCAACCTCATGATAGACAATAGTATTCATATCGATAGAGACCAATTAATTTTGTGTTTCTCTCCTTTTCTTTCTTTAATTGCGAGGAAAAGCAAAATTTCTCATTAACAAAAGATTGAAACCATCGAAGAAGAGAACCGTTGCATATTACATAAAAGCAGTATATATATATAAATAAGATAATATATATGTTGCTGTTAACTTATTTAATAAAATATCAATTATCTGAACAAGTGGGGGGAATACATCTCTGTTGATAATCGCTTCCGAAATTTGGCGTTCTATTATAAACTACTATGGCATTCTAATATATAGAAATTATACGAATAAAAATAAATTAAATATATATGAAGATTTGTGGATCTGTAAAGATCTATATAAAGATTTGTAAATTATTATTCATAAAGATCTATAATAGAGAAACGAAAATGTACATATTTATAATATATTTATCTGTGTTTTTCTCAAATGTGTGATGGACACGTACAATTGTATATATTGTTATATGTTATTAGTTATATAAATAATATTATTCAAGTGGTGTAATATTTACATGCAAAGCTGCAATTGCAAATATTTTGTTATGTTTCATATTTTTAACTTTAATGAATAAAATTTTCTATATTTGTTAAATTTAAAAATTTTAAATTGCATATATATATATGTGTATGACATAATACAAAAAAATGTATATATAATACTATACGTTTATGCTCCATACAATTAGTTTTAGGAAGGGTATTGAAAAATATGGTTAAAAAATTGAAGGCTTGTAATATTCACTAAATCGAATAAAAAGTGTTTTAATGAATATTACATGCTTTCTAATAGTAAGTTCTAAATATATTTTTTACTCCATATCTAAATATATAAAAACATTATAAAGAAAAAAAAATTACATATACTATAATACACATAAAAATTATACACAACACAACCTTATAAATATAATATGATAATTGATTTTATTATAATATTTAAAACACACAATTATATGTAGCATACTATGGAATGTAAAATATGTGAAAAAAACTGTACCCAGTCATCATTAGGAATTTTATTTTTTTTTACACATTTGAAATTAATCATATTTTTCACACAATAAAGTATAGAATAACCCAACACACAAATTTTGGTAAAGCTCTGCAGAACATTTGCCAGAAATGTACATACATATACGTATATATATATATATATAGTCACACATAAATAAAAGACTTGAAAAAATAAAAGGCTCATCGTTCATACAATTACATGTTTCGCTACATATCTTTGGACAGTGTAATATTTAATGTTGATATATAAAATTCGTCTTTTAAGAATGTGTTTGATTTTACGAGTTTTACATTTTACACATGTACATCAGCAGTTGCAGTGTGTGTATTGTGGTCTCAAAACAAGTAGTTTACATACAAGTATTTAGCTATATATAGTGAAATAAATCCAATCACTTATTCATTTATAAAAATTCTTGTACCAAAATTCTTTTTGTATAAATCTTAATTTTACGAGCATCGTTTCTCTCACAGTGTGTAAAGCGCATAATTGTTACAGCACAAATTCATTGTACCAGTGTATAAAATATAGTTATTCAATCCCCTGTTTTCAATCTTAGAATACAAAGTACGAGTAAAATATAGTGCAAGTATATCATTAATGCATATTAAATTAGAAACATGTGGCTATAATTTTGAATATTGCAATAACCTAATAATATTTCTATGTTTATATATATCTAATAAAGCATATCCTACTAAACAATTTTTTTCATGATTTTAAGGATATTAAAATTATTATAAAATAAATTCAAAAATACAAAATTAATTAAAAAAAATATTTTCCCTTTAAATGCCATTATACATTTTCGAATAAACACGTGTTTTTTTATATTTGGTGTTTGGAAAAATTGTAATTAGTATGCTAGTGTAAAATAACTACATGTATCCTAACAAATAGGGCTTTTCGTGCAACATGCCGTCATATTATTGTTTGGTTGTATATTTGTTTATATTTATACAATTGTATGAATGTCCACGAGAAAATTTCGAAAGCTGTATGAATGTATTTTCATGTTACATTATTGAGTTATACATGAAATAGGAGATTCTGAAGCCACAAAATGCAAAACAATACTAATCCAATAAAAAAAGCTTTGCAATAATAAAATTTTTTAAAATATATTTAGTTTTATCAATGCTAATATTAAAAATATCTATAAGTGTGCTCCCCCTTATTAATATTAATATATATGTATATATATATACATATACATATAAGTAAATTATTTTAATATAAAAATATTACAAAGATAATTTTAATTAAATATATACATAATTATAATATAATATATATAAGATTGTTCTCTTATTTTTAGATCTTATCTCTTCTAATAATACCATACTCGATCTGATTTCATTTAACATCAGGGTAGATTTTTTTAAAAGTATATCAAAGAGAGTTAGTAAGGCAATTTGTTTTTTTATATAACGTAATGTAAATAATTATAATTTTGTTAGATTAATTTGATTTTATTAACATCAACATTAAAAAATATATATCTGAATATATATTTATTATAACATTTAGAAAGAGGTTGATGAGGTTTTTAAGGACTTTTTTAGTTTTTGTTTTAAAAATTTTAAATATTCCTATAGTGATATTATAGAAGAAAAAACCCGTCTCTTGGAGCAAAAAAAAAAAAAAAAAATTTACTGGTTTCTAGCAGTTAATAAGGATAAAATAAATCTTTTTAATAGCGCTAAAGCCGCTAATTCTTTTTGGATACTTATGTATCTATACAATTGATATTAGATTATTTTCAGCAACAAATTGTATCGAAAAAGTATTAAAATTAGTCAATTCGAAAGAGTAAAGAACTGAACTTATATTTTGCATTTTATGATTTCAATTCTCCTTCATGCTGCAATACTAACAACGTTGAAATGGACGGCAGAATATTTTGTTCTAATGCTTCTCAACTAAGACGACGATATAGATTAGTTATCTTAATAAAACTTGAAAAAAAAATGGCTTATCTTAAAGATACAAAGAAATCACATGGAATGTACACGTCAGGAAACGATACTCCCTACAGTTAGAAACAAATTTAATTATAATAACATCTTATATGTATACGAATTTCTTACATTCATCCACAGTGTATTACATTATCAACTGCATTCGATATCAATTGCTATGCATATTATTTTTTCTTTTTTTTTAATGAGATAAGAGCTAACAATACTTTGTACAAGTTTTATGATACAAATATATTAAGATATATATAATTCAATTATTATACCGTATATTATATAATCAAAAGTTAAGCGCTTCCTCTCAATCCTTTTTCATACAAGGCAATATCCTTCCTCTTTGATAATGTTAAAAAGAATTTCTCCCTTTCAGTTCTCTCTTTTTTCTTCTCTTCTCTCTTCTCTTATTAATCCTTGCGCTGTACTAGAAGAAATTGAAATCTACACGCTTACGCGCCTGCACAGGCACAATGTATCTTTGCTTCTATTCATTTTGATATCAACCGTGAGGTATCTTCATGGTTCTGATATTTTGGTTTGCCATGAGTGAAAGGCAAATATCTATACTTAATCATATGCTACAAATAAAAAAAAGCTGTGTTAATCAAAACTACATTTATGATTAAAAAAAGTAAACTCAAGATTAAATAAATGTAGTCAAATAAGAGGATTTATTGACTATATATTTGCAGAAACGGGAATTACTCCACAAAAAATCATTTATTTATTTTCAACTTAAAATGTAAATCTTTTCACAAATCTATATATACAAAAATTTTTTTTATTATTTTGTGATTATCAACATGTTAATGATTACTATATTGAAATAATGAGAAATAGATAAAATTAAAAATAATTAAAATTTTGTAAAAATCTGTAAAAAGATTATATAAATTGTCATTTCCTTACCTTTATTTGCCGCTTCATTGTAATACAGAATAACGTTATGAAATACATAACAAGTATTGGCCAGAACACTGGTATGTTAAAGCAATCAAATAGTGTGCATATCATGGCAACAAATGTGGATTTTGTTACTGAGTACCAAAATTTAAACTCAGGTAATCTTCTGATAAATGGCCTAAACTCTTCATTCGATCTTGTAGGTAATTCAGGGCCTTCTCCATCTAGAATTTCATTCAAAAAGTAAAATAGAATCTTGAGGTTCAATTAAATTAAATTATCAAAAATAAAACTTGATCAAATTAACTTTAATTTCATTTTATATAATTTCTCATTAATTTCTATAAGTTTGATTTCTAATCCTTAATCTCAATATATAATTTCTTACTTAATCAAATTGAATTTAATTAAATTCTTTATATGTATAATTTGTGAAATAATTATATAAAATCTATCAAATTGCTTACCATCAAAATCCATTGCAGGATCAATTTTTGGAGTAAGGAATGCTATGAATAAATTGAGATGATAAATTCCTAGTGCGTATGTAACAATATACCATCCCTGCAAACATTAAAGTTTTTTTATATTATGATACAATCGTAAAGAATAAAACTCTTAATTTAAGATAAAAAATACTATACTTGAGATATAAATACACGTAGAATAAAAAGGACTAATAGGAATAGGGCAAACAGCCATCTTGATATTACATGGGGTGTCCATAGATCTAGATATCTTTGATATATCTGCAATAGTAAAAATATTTTGTGATGATTACATAATACATATAAGCATACAAGAAAATATGGTATAATGTGATATAATGTGATTAACAAAATTCAATGGCTATCTAGATTGATAACAACAATTCATAAATATATCATAAATCTTTATCAGCCTATAATTTTGTTTTATAACAATAGTTTAATATTGTACTTTAAATAAAATAAAACAGAAGAAATATATATATATAAAGAGAGAGAGATATATCACTGTATAAAATATTAAATAAGCTGTGTATATTAACCTGCGATATTCTTATTATGCCTTGACTGACAACATTCCGTCTCGCTGAACCACCTAAGTCTTCATCTTGCATCATTTTTTCTCACTATACATAAGCAGAAAATTTTATTATACTTTAGATACAAATTATATAAAGCCAGGTAATATTAATAAATAATTTATAAAAGAATTAATCATACATAAGTTGATATTTATGAATTTTTATAAATAATATAAATAATGTTTCTATTTTACTTAGGAAAAGTTTAGCTGAAAAAAATTTCTTCATTTGTAAAAATATATGTAATCATATCTTTAAAAAAATACATAGATATTTTAAAAAAGATTACCCAAGTATCTTTTTATATGTATTCATACAATGATTGAATATATATGTATTTTTCCACAAAAGTCACTAAGCTAATTTTAGCATTAGTAATTCTAATTGAGATCTGTATAAGAACAATTGATCCTAAATTGATTATCTACGATCGGAAACTTATCACGCCGTCTCTAATCATTAATTGATAATGATTGATTCGAGAGACACGAGCCTTGAAGAATTTCTCGAAGAGCTTCATTATGATAATTGATACAAATTTAAATTCATTGCGACATTACAGAAGCATGTTTGA